ATGGTTCACACCAGCAAGCTCAGCTGTTTTTGCACACAAGAACAACTAATTTTGGCTCTACCAGCGTGACGGCTCTCATCACAACAGGCATCTATTTGTCACTGCTCATAATAAATGTAAGAGAGTCCTTGAAGGAACAAAGTCCTTGTTTGCCGAGAGAATGAGGCACTGCATACCCTCTAACAACTTTGGCTCTCAGGATTAATGGCGGCTCTGTAATAGGGCATTAAATAAGTGTAAGGTCTCTATTCCCCCCTCTTCGATTAAGTTGAAGTGTTATCATCCTCTGCTGATAAATTCTGTAAATTCTCCATAAACTCTACTCTTGACTGAAGTATCCCTTCCTAACTTCCCATTTAGAACTGAGCATCTGTTGAGTGATATGCATATAACCCCTTCCATTGCTTCTGCTATCATCTCTAATCTAGACCCCCAACAAAGCATGTGGACCCGATGGTATCCCTGTAATAATCATTAAGAAGTGTGCTCCTGAATTGGCGCTTGTTCTCCTTAAACTGTATAATAAATGCCTCACTACCTCCTGCTTTCCAGCCTGCTGGAAGTCATCGTCTGTTGTTCCAGTTTTTAAAAACTCTGGTGAGCCATCCAACCCTTCCAACTATCAGCCTATTAGCCATATACCACTTTTTGGGAAACTCCTAGGGGCATTAATCTATGCTGAATTGGTTCATCTCTCATCACAGGGTCTTTTCACAGACAAGCGATATGGCTTTTGTTTCTCCAGGTCAATTCTGATGTACTGATGATAATGGTGGAAAGAGTCTATTATACTCTAGATGAAAACAGTGAAGCCTGGGCTTGAAAGACTGAGACAGGGTTTGGCATTCAGGTCTTCTTCATAAGCTGAAAAGTTACAGTGTCTCCGGATACTTTTTTGAACTGATCCAGTCTTTCGTATTAAATCATGAAGAGAGTTATCCTGAATGGCCACATGTCTAGATCCTTTTTTAACTAATGCCCTAATTGAAATAATTTCAACCACAACTTTGATCTCAAGGATGCTATACTTATTAAAAGAGAAAATAACTAACTTAGGTGAAAAGTTCTTGAGAGTGTAATTACTGATTCTTGTCAAAATGTTAAATTATACTCAAGATTTTTCCCAAGCCAACATACATGACCATAAAAATTTTAAAAAAAATTAAACGGTTAACTGCTATTTAAAATAAATAAATTTAACAAAATAATTCTATTATAATTGTGCTTATTCCTCCCTTTGTCAGTTCGCGTGACCGTTATACCCTGCCAATACTTCGTAAATAATGATCTATTCCATTTTGATCGTGTGGAAAGAGGGGAAATGACACGATTTGGTTTCAGTGAGAAAATGAATAAATGAAAAGATAGAAGTGGGGAGAGAATTAGATTAAGCTGATAAGAACAGATACTACACTTTGATCTTAATATTTATTTACCATAAAAGGTACAAAATATGCCACAAGGACTGTGGGGGTGGGGAAAAGACTGGTCTTCTCTAGTCCTACCTCAAAACAAACTAGTCTCATTCGTTGACCCATTCGTACTTACAATTTTCCTTTCACCATAACAACGTATTTACTCTTGGCTGTCACAATACTATCACCAAGATACCACATTTTCTCTATGAAAAGCCCTAACATGAATTTTTATTTACACAATTATCGAGAGATGAGGAAAAAAATCATAAACCCAATGATTATATACAATGAAAAATATGTTTGTACAAGAAACTAAACAAAACAATATTAGGAGTTGGACCCTTCCCAAAAATGTGGCAGAAATCTCGATTAGACAAAAGGCCGAGAAACGTTGGCAACTGCAACAAAATTGCAATTTTTCAGACATACAGTAGTGAACAGTGGAAACCCAGTAAGGCAATTATCAAAAATCTAGTTATCATAAATAAAATAACATTATCTATTGAATAATCTTTAAATTATTATTAAGAAAAATGTTTGTAAGACAGGGATTTGACTAGCTAGAAAAAGAAAATGAAAGAAGTGTTTAACAAACATCTCCTAGCCAATACCTCATAAATAACAGACTATTCCATTTTGATTGTGTTGAAAAGCAAAAATCTACTTGGTTTCAGTGAGAAAATGAATGAAATAAGGGAAGACAGAAGTATTTAATGGCTGTTTCGGTGAAATGGAAAACTTTCAGCTTCAGATCTTTTCATTTGTACCCACTTCTTAAAATAAAGACCAACATTTGTGTTTATGATTATTATTGCAATATTTTGTTAAAGTTATTAAGCACAAATATTTAACAATGTGATGGGGTTGGGTTTATACAGACATTTTATTCTTGTAGAACTTGCCATGAACTTATTCAGTAATTAACTTAAGAATTAAGATTCTGTGGAGAAAATTGTGAAAACGGCTTACCTCAGAAACGCTCATAAGTCTGTGTGTCGTGCAAAATCCAGCTGCTCAACAGTAAAAAAAGAACCAAAATGGCAACGCCCATGTTTTATGCCAGGCGGTCTTGGACAGTTAATGCGAAATCTCGTTGTCTCGTCATTCGCATGCAAATTATGGTTGGTCCTTGGCTGTATAAAGCAAGCACATATTTTTTTCTGGTCACTTTTTTTTTTTATTTGGATTTTTTACCATAAAAGGCAGAAAATTTTCTGAGCTGCTGGCAGAACATGCGTTTTTTTTTGTTTTTTTTGCTCATGAGAAGGTTGGACGGTGACACCATTTTGTCGTTTCTGCTTTGTTGGACTTCTATGACAGGCTGTCGGTTGAACTGCGATTTGGCTACAAGTGTTGCGGTTGAGAGACAGAAGAAATTTATTGCAGTTGCTACTATCAGTTGACAGTCTTTTCTTTACTACAACAGATTCATCAGAAATTTCAAATAGGAAAACCATGAAATTTTCACGGGTCTTTCTAGTAAATAATAGTTACATTAAAAATAAATAGGTAAAAATTTACCAACATTTACTCACTTCATTATTAGGTAATAAATGACATCAATTAAGCATCCTCCATAGTTTTATATGTGTATATATATATATATATATATATATATATATAAGACAAAATGACAGCATCTCTTTCTGATATTTTTTTTTTTTTTTTCAAAAGAAAATTAGTGACACCTTCTCTCATGACTTCCTTCTCTCTTTTTCTTTTTATGGTTTTTTTTTCTCCTCTACCCCTTCGATATCAATATATAACTTCTGTTAAGTTAACTGTTTAAATGTGTCAATGTCTGGACCTCAAATAATTTTAAGTATAAAAGAATAGAAATTTTAAATTACATCTAACTCACTCATGTCTTCTCCACCCCCTTACTTCGTTAATTTATATATGCTTAATACAGCCCATCAAAAATGTGTAAATTTCTTTTCATTTTTTGTTTCAACCTTTGGAGGTAAAGTCTGATGATAATTTAAAAGGGCTGTGGTGAAATAATTTATTACATGGAACCTTAAAGTGGTCTGTTTTTATTTAAATTATTTGCTCTGGATTAACATTGAGCTCTCTGGATTTCATCCTTCTTGGGTTTACCCATACAGATTACCTTTCATAAACTATATATATATATATATATATATATATATATAATGTGTATGCGCAGTGGATACAGTAAGAGGGGGTTTACATTTTTTTTTATTTTATTTATTTTTTGGTTGGATGATTATGAATGGAATGGGATTAGAGTAAGCAGAATGTGATTTATGTGTGTGTTTGCGTCTGTGTGCATGTTTATATCTCAGTGAGAGGAAACAAAATCGTTACTTACCACTTGAAGCCAAGTGTGTTGCCATGTTCCTTACCAGATCAAAACCATTACTGCATTTGCTTCCTCTTTTTTATGGAAGAGCCTAAATTGCTGATGAACTGGAAGTTATCCATGATTAGACTATAAACTGCCAAGAGGAGTTGCAGTGTGTAATTAAGAAAATGGAGAAAATTGTAGCTGACGGATGATACACAAGTCGATGCCTGATTGGTATTGGCTGGGTCACCATAGAGAGGAGATATGATGTTGAAAGACCCGAAACCCCTAATGAACTTTGGCTAGAAACATCACTGATGATGTGTGCCAAAGCATCCAATAGATGTATTTTATGAAAATAAGAAGTGTGTGTTTTTTTTATTTTTTTTTTTTTTATTTTTATTTTTATTTTTTTTTTTTTTGGAGGATTCTTAAATTTGAAGATGTAACAATATTTTTCCTCCACTTCTATCTATAAATACAGTTAAAAATAAAATCACCTCTCCCATCATTTACCTGCTATAAAATTAAAATTTTTTTAGCATGAAATGTGTTGGTAAAAAAAAGTTTTCCTTTAGTTTTTTTTTATTTTATTATATATATATATATATATATATATATATATATATATATATATATATATATACATATACACACACACACACACAAAAAAAAGGGTTTTTGGGGGGATTTAGGCTAATCATATAGTAATTCGTTGAGCCTAGAATAATCTTCAACAGAATGCAGAAAGCACTGGATGGCCATTTTGTCCTATCTGGGACTCATCAGCAGTAAAAAATACACTACCAAGAATTGAACCTGGACAGTTTTGATACAATGCAAACTTCATACCAACTGTACCACGGGCCTCACTGATGAAGAAGACACAAACTAGACCCTATATACCACCGCTACTCACTTAGTTCTGCAGCGATACACATCCAAGTGTTCAGTTAATAACCCCAGAACAGTGCCCCAAGAGCCACTACTACTTTTTGACCCTTCGCAGAGCAATAGCTGGCTTTAGCAAGGATAGACAAGTAATTATTTTGGGGATTTAGGCTAATCATATAGTAATTTGTCAAATTACTATATCTCTCTCTCTCTCTATCTATCTATATATATATATATATATATATATATATATATCTTTAGAAATGTACATGAAATAAGCTTTGGAGTTTTGTAAAAAATAAAAATACTTTTGATACATCCTCATCATTTTGGAAGTGTTTTATCAAATCAAGTTTTTTCCAATCACATTTTCTCAGGTTTGATGGTGATATGGTGTTGCTGTTAGTGTCTGACCCTCAAATCTTAGGTTACCAAAGGGAGCCACCATTTCCGGTTGGATATTTTACACGATGGGATGCAGACAGGTAAGAACTTTTTGTTTTTTCCTTCTATTTTATTCAAATATTTGAAAGTGCATACTTATCCAAAACATTTCATACATCAACAGGAGAGTCCAGTGTGTATATAATAATGGACTCTCCCATCGGTTTCAACGTATGAGGATCTGATAGCTTATTGATTCAGTTATGAAAGTTTGTGCGATAATCTTAAGTGGCATTTAAGACCCGCTAGTGATTTACAAAGGAGGTCACATATGGAGCAAGTGTAAGGATTGTGAGAGGAGATCACTATTAGATTGGCTGACCTTTTAGATCTTGCTCTCGCTTCTTGAAAATTATTCAGACAAGCAGATTGAAAACTGCTAAGTCCACTAAAACATGTTGATCTCCATTCTACCCGCTCCAAGGTTAAGTGCTCAAGGGTGTTATGTGGTATATTGACAGCTGACAAGTTGCTTTTCAGCTTGTCTTTGTATCTTAGCCATGGACATCCTACATTCCTGTAGTGTGTGTATATATATATATATATATATATATATATATATATATAAATTAGAAGAAAGGGTCCACGTGTGCTTCTTATAGTATGTAAAATAGATAGGTTAGTTAATAAAACAAGGACAAACGAAAGGGTACCAATATAATCAGTACAAAAAACATTTATTAAATATTAATTATTAAAAATATGACAGAAATGAAGCATGAAATAAAGGTTTTAAGTCCAGAATTTTTGAACATGCCTGTGTCCTTTATCAACAGAGCAAGAAATAAACAGAGAAATGGGAATTAGTCACCAACAGATGTTTTTATTATGGCTGGACACTTATATTTGAGGATACCCGTCTGCTAGGGCAGCTTGCCAATTCCTATTACAGATGCTTGCTCAGGCACATTTTGTGTTTTTTTTAACATCCACAGAGCCCACCTGTGGTTTATACTGCAACTATGCTGAGCAGATGTTAGAGTTTCTAGGAGAGAAGCACGTTATCTAGCATGATCAACAGTCTGAACAAGGCCAGCATGCTTAAACCCTCGGTCACGATGACTTGTAACTTTGTGCTAGCGTGCACACACACATATTTATATGTTTCTGTCTGAATAATCCTGGGGTGAAGAGTTATCATTATTTACACTATTTACATGTGGACTATTGTCCTCATCTTTGTTATTATCACTTGATCGCCTTTTGTCTGAATTTCTGGAATGAGGAGTTATCATTATTTACACTATTTACATTCGGACTATTGTCCTCATCTTTGTTGTTATTATCACCTGATTGCCTTCTGTCTGAATTTCTGGGATGAGGAGTCATCATTATTTACGCTATTTACATGTGGACTATTGTCCTCGTCTTTGTTTTTGGCTGTTGTACCCTCCTGTATAGTTCTTATTTTTATTACAGTTCAGTTATTGCTCATCTGTTTCTACTAAGTCCAATTACACACTGCCCATCTCAGGGATTGAACTCACAATTAGTATGCCACCAAATTCATGAACTGATGCTTTAATCCTGTGGGACAATTCTCCGTGGAGAACTGAGTGTTGAATCTAACCTGCCTGCTCATGATTAGCACCTTGCATAACATCTCACTCACCATGTCGACTAAGGAGGTTCTCATATCTTAGCATAGGTGCTGATTCTTGCAGATGTCTAAATCTCTTCCTTGTCCAGTTAAATTACATCCGGTAGCAAGACCCCTGATCGGAAGATTGGAGGTTTTTAAGGCCTCTTAATTGCTGTTGTTCCCAGGTCCACCCTGACTTTGGGGTGGTAGCACCCATTCGGGTCCTAGTTATGGGCAAATAGTAAATCTCCAAACAAAAATAAGACACTATGAAAGTATGAAAATACCAGCAATACCTTTTTATATAAAAACTTAGCAACAATACATATTTATAGTAAAATTATCAACAATACATATTTATAGTAAAATTATCAACAATACATATTTATAGTAAAATTATCAACAATACATTTTAAAGCAAATTGATCAGCAATACATTTTATCTTTAGTTGAAGGCATTTAATAACATCCATAATATATTTAGTTGAAGCCATAAAAGTGTTAAAAATATTTAAAATTTGGCATTAAATAACCCAATGTTACTAAACAAAATCAACCAACCAACCTGAAATAACTATTTCATGACATTAATCCATATAATATCCTACAATTTCTTAAAGAAATCAAACTGTTTTCTGAAATATAATTTCAACGAAACTACAACATAAAACATACATATCATCGCCTGTAGTAATTATGTCCACATAAACTTGTATATACACAAAAGCTGAGTATCATCTACCATGTATTCATTTGTGAAGGCAGAATAATATCATATTTTTATTACTTCAAAGCTCGTAAGAAAGTTGAATTTTGGCATTAAATGACCATTAATGAGTTTATATGCTATTAAATAAACAAATAAAAAAAAAAATCCTTGTCCAGGATTTTCACTTCATTCCACTTGGACTCGGTGGAAATAAGGAGAGCAATAACTGAGCAGTATTAAAAAAATAAGAACTAGATGAGATATCCCTAGATATGGAACAATCTACCTCTGTAGATTAAATAAAGTGTTTGGAATTTGCTGCAGGCTACCTGGATCGATATACAGATGAGGAAGGTTGGAGAACACAATGGATGAAATGTTGGGATAACAACAACAACAACAATGATGCAGACAATAGTCTGCATTTAAATGTTTTTTTGTTTTTTTTTTCATTTGAATTTTTTAATATATTTACCAACAAGGATGGGAAGACGTCATCTAGATAGGGGTAAGACCACCCCACAAAAAAAAAAAAACAAAAGAAAAAAAAATGACTATCTTCCAAGTGGCTCCTTGCAAATTTGTGTATGGCTCTATGTCGACCTTTGTGACTTGAGTGTAACCCAGATCTATTTTGTTTAATTGCAGATACATAAGCCGGTCCTTCAGTATGGCCCATTTGCATACATCTCCTGATGTTGTGCTCTTCCTTGGTGACCTGATGGATGAAGGTAGCACATCCACAGATGAAGAATATGAAATCACCTACAAAAGATTTCAGGAAGTCTTTATAGATGCTGTGAATACCAAAGTTAGTAGCCAAAAATTCTTTTTCGAATTTGGTACTTCCAGTCTATTTCTGAGACCTTTTCTGTATTTTCATTCCCAAGTGTTTGTAACAATTAGATCACTGTATCACATCTGACCAGAATTTGAACATAAAAAATGCCATTCTGATTAAATGAGAAAATAATTTACTAAGAAGAAAATTTATTGAAAGTGCACTGATCTCATAGTTCTCTACGGTCAGCCTCAGACTGGGCGCATGCATAATATCACTTGTCATTGCAAAAATATTAGTAGCAGAAATGCAGTATTTAAACTAATAGAGGAAAATAAAAAAATCTTAGATCTACATGTAGAGTTAAAATTTCAAACCCAGCATTATGTTAACAGATTATGAGGAGGGTGGGGAATGAGTGGTGGGGGGACATCTGATAAGGATCTTTATCTTTCCCTCATAGTCCAACACCCCTTTTTTACTCAGGATTTTGTTTCTCATTCCAGCCTGAAGAAGACTGTGTGTATGCACAGATATAAGTGTGTGTGTGTAGGCACAGATATAAAGGTGTATGTGTATATAAGTATATGTGCATATGTGTATATAAGTATACGTGTATGTGTATATAAATGTATGTGTGCATGTATATGTGTGTGTGCATATACAGATGTTTATATGTGTGTATGTACACACACATATATATAGTCCTCTTTTAAATTAAATGTTATGTACAGTGGAATCATACTCCATTTTTTTCTCCTTTTACCTGAGTATGTATGTGTATATATATATATATATATATATATATATATATATTATTTTCGGTGTCAAAAATCCCTGCAAGTTCTTCTTGTGAGGTGAAATAGCTATACATAAACTAAATGAGGTCATTTTGAATTTCTAATCTATGTAATTAATTTATTTTATACATACACACATATATATATATATATATATATATATAAAAAGTGCGATGGATAAATTATCGCCTAGATTACGCACAAATGAAAATAATACTGACATCTCATTTTAACAGAGATATTTACCAACAGTGCATAAAAATATCTTGAAATACTAAAAAGAAAATTTATTCAATAAAATCACCATTGGCTTCACCCATGGCCTCCAGACAACTTCGGAATTTCCTGCCACTCTTCTGGACAGTCTCCTTGTTTAAGTTGGTGAATGCTGCTATAATTCTTGCCTTCAGTTCATCTTTGGTGTTACAAAGTGTTTTGTTGGTCTCAACTGTGCCCCACACATAATAATCAAGGGGGGGTTGCAGTCTGGGGAGTTAGGTGGTCAGATGTAAGGGTTGATGTCAATGCAGAAATTGTCTGACAGCCATAACTGGGTTCTCCTGCTTATATGGCATGGTGCACATTTATATATATATATATATATATATATGCATGTTTTATCACACATATATATATATATATGTGTATGCATATATATATATATATATATATTGTGTGTATGCATATATATATGCATGTGTGTATGCATATATAATGCATATATATGCATATATATATATATATGCATGTGTTCTCTCATATATATATATATATATATACAAATGTGTATGCATATATATATACATGTGTGTATGCATATATATATATATATATATATATATGCATGATTGTAAACATATATATATATATACTTTGTATATATATATATATTATATGTATGCACGTGTTATTCATATATATATATATATATATATATATATGCACTAATAATAAACATATATATTTATATATATATGCATATGTAACATATATATATGCGTATATATTATATATATATACATGCATATGCATATATATATATATATATATATATATATATATGCACATGTAAATAAATTTTATATATATGCATGTGTGTGTGTGTGTGTGTGTGTGTATATATATATATATATATATATATATATATATATATATATATATATATATATATATATATAATGCATAATTGTGCAGAAACCTTTCTTTTAAACAACTTTTCTTAAATATAACAGACACGTAAAATTTTAACAATGGATGGAGAAAAACTGTCCATATCATCCATTGTCCCAATCGCTTTTGGCCACTTCTTTGGTCATTTTCAAGGGGTTTTTTTGGTGTTCATTTCTTTTCATCTTTTGACTGCGTAAGATAAATTATTTGTGTTTTTTTTTTGTTTCTAGTAGGGACGTCAATTCCGAGCTATCATGTGTAGGGCATGGCTGGAATTAAAGTGGGTGACTTTCTATATAATATATTCTATATAAAATTTCTATATTCTTTTCAGAAATATACAATAACTATAAAAAGTTCAATTTTCCTTGTAGTAAAGTTTGTTTTATAAAATAATTAAGTGTCCGTAGATATATGGACAGACTTTGACTGTCAGCCAATGTGTTTGTGAGTTCATAGACAAGGTCTTAGATCTCTTCCATTTTGTGTGTGTGTATGTATGCATGTGTAGATTAAATTGGCCTCCCATATTGTTTTGAACCTTGAATTTGCGGGAGTGGTGAAAGGAGTTACTATTATTTTCTAAATGTTCCAAAAATAACATGGTCGGTCTAAAACTATGACTGCCAAGTACTTTGGCTGTATTTACCCTTTAATGATTGGTTTGTTAAATAAACCTTCTGATGGGATTTTTTTGATTGAAAAATATATATAGGATGTAATTCTTTTTGAGGGATCTATGACGAGTGAAGTTTCACTTATAGACACTATTTCAGCTGTTACTAATTGGCTACTTTGTAGCTCAGTTGGTTAGAATTGCCAGATCTAACAGCAGCTCCCTTTGCCTGGGAGGATGCAGGTTTCAATCCTGCCGGAGAGTGTATATTTTTCTCTAATAAGTTCTTGAACATTCAGGCTAATAGACAAAAATAAATAAATATACTGTTTAATATCTACTAAAAATAATGTTTAATGTGATAAAAATCTACCAGATGAATAAAAATTCATTTACTTGTTTATATATATATATATATATATATAAATATTTGGCATATTTTTTCTATATAGAAATTAACAAAAATTCCCTTCCTTTCTGCTGTGCAACGATGGCTTAGAGGTAAGATATGAATCAGTTGGGTTTCGATCCCGGCTTGAAACAATCAGACATGTAGCCACACTGAGGAGCTGTGATACAGTGAAACAGTCTGTTGCGGATGACTACATATATGCTCCTGGAAATCCGGTTGAGCTCTCTAGGGAAAGGGGGTTTTAAAAAACAGCAGTTCTTAAGCATTACTCTTCAAGTATGACTTGAGTTCTCCGAGCTGCTGGTGTAATTCATATAGAGAAAAACGTTAAAATTCCATGTGACAATGGTCTAGAGGTAAGATATCTGACTGATGTCAAATCAGTTGGGTTTCAATCTTGGCTTGAAGTAATTGGATGCCTAGCCACACTGAGGAGCTGTGATACAGTGAAGCAGTCTGTTTGTGAATGACATATATATATATATATATATATATATATATATATAATAGCTGGCTACTCGTATTTGAGGATACCTGCCTGCTAAGGAAGCTAGCCAATCCCTATTGGAGACACTCGCTTAGGCACATTTGTATTTGCTTAACATGCACAGAGCCCACCTGCAACTATGCTGAGCAGACTTTAGTTACAGTTTCTGGGAGAGAGTGTGTTATCTAGTGTGATCAACAATTTGAACAAGGCCAGCATGCTTATTTGGCCACAATGACTTGTGGCTTTGTGCTTGCACAGCTATCGACGGCCATCAAGAGTTCTGTCTACCCAATTTCACTTACAAGGCTTGGGTCAACCCGTGGTATGGTTTTCAAGCAGTTTGAAAAGGTGCCGCATGCCAGTCCGATAACATCAGGAAGTCTCCTTCCTGACAAATCAACCATGGTGAGATTTGAACCCAGGTCTCATGATCAGAAAGTGAACATTCTAACCACTTGGCATCTATATATATATATATATATATATATATATATATATATATATATATATATATATATATATATATATATAATAATATGAAGCCACGTATACTTTCTTAATATGTATATATAGAAAAAGTTGCAAATTAAAAAAATAATAATGTTTTTTATGAAAGTATTTATTTATTTATATATATATTTGATATTTCAGATTGACCTCAATCTTTCTTCAGAAAAACTTTTGTTACAAATAAATTAATTAGCATCTGTTTGTATAAGATGCGGACGTCATGTGATACGTGGACGCCACTGTGTTATGGAATATTCTTAACGTAAATCTAACTGTAATAATATTTTAGATATTGTTTAAAAAAAATAAAAAAAAAAAATTTTTAACTATATGAAAAAAAAAAATGTTTAACTATTGAAATAT